GGTTTGCTTTCAAGAAAATATGTTTGGGATTACTTTATAAATCTTTATTGCATTTTAATCTTAGATTATTTATGCCCTTTTATACCTGAAAAAGTATTTGGAGAAGAAAGTTAGCCTCTTTTTCAACCTGAAAATTTGCACAAGAGGATATTAATATAACAAGCATAACTTGGCACTGTATGCTATACAACACAGGAAAGGGAAAACAAAGATTTCTACTTTAAACCATTTTCAACATAGCATTTTTACAGTGGGAAAGGATGGAAGGGGTAGGACCAAATTGTTTTCTCTGCCTCAACACCAATCCATTATGCACTTGAGAAATATTCTGTATGGAGTCCCTGAAGAGAATTAAAGGGAAAAACAATAAACAATTGTGCTTCTGTGATATGCCTTATGTCATAACCATATCAGTTTCCTGTTTCAGGGGAGATATGTTTATGGAGGAATCATAACTTACATTAAAAAAAAATATTGTAACCTGCTTCTAATGTCCTTTCTTACATGTTTTTCTGTTAAGTTTGTTTTTATTTTTTTCATTTCTGTGTGTGTGTCCCCCCCCATAGTTGTTTTGAAGGAATAACTTTATTGTCCATCACCAATACTGCCATGATTTTCTCCTTTCAAAATCTTTTTCCTTACAAGGAAAAATATTCATACATCAATCTTCAAGACAGAGGCAGAGGGAATTGTACCATTTTTCTGCCTTCCTATGATATTTTCCATATTATACAGTGATTTGTTTCTCAGCCTTAAAAAACCCCTGACTCTTTCCTAAGAAAAGCAACATTTATTTTTGCAAGAGAAGGTTTGCAAATTTGATGTCAGATGAGAAGGGAACAATTATGGGAGCAATCATCTAAAGCATATTATTTGAAGTGATTAAGAAGTAATTATTGTTCCCTATCTGATTAATAAGAAAATTCTAACATCATTTTACAACTTTTTCCTATCAAAATTGTATTTGCAAGAGTCATTTGGGTTCATTTCAGGGAGAGTAATTTCTGATTAGACTTGTATGAGTTTGCTCAGTTACAGCATAATCTTGTGTTTGTCTCCTCAGATATAAAATTTATTCTTCCAAATAAGTGGCAAGATTAAGACATTTGTTTCTCTATTTTAATATTTCCTATATATCTATCTAGAATTTTACAAAATTGAATAGATATCTGTTCAGTTTCTTAAAAAGTTTCCTATTTTTGTGTAGTTCTTTACACAATTTGTTATTTAAAAGTATTTTACATTAGCAATCTTAACCTAATGCCTCTAAATTCTCCAACTGAAATTCTCAGTCCAAGGACATCTAAAAGATCCCAAGTTGGGGTGATTTTCTTTTAAGAAGTCTTTTTTTTAAAAAAAAAAATCTTTAAATCAAATTTAAATATTTAAAAAAAAACCTTTTGACATTAACCTTATAACCATTTGCTGCTGATTATGCTCTGGTGGAATTGCTATCAGTTCACTAGTTATTATGCACTGCATTATAAAAGATGCAGTGAAAACAAGGGATCTTAAGTTAATTATGATTTGTCCCATTAATTTTAATAGGACTTTTCTATGCATGGCTAAACTTGGTTTTAACCTCATGAGAATGACATCCTTTTTTGTATCTTACTTCTGAACATAATACCTTCACATAAGAGAAGGTATGTTTCTAGCTAATGAATGAACGAACCATGGTACTTGTGAAGGTTGTAATTTTGCAGATCCAAAATAATAAGTTTTTATCTGAAAATATGAAAAAGCAGTAATGTTCTAAATTATAAGTGCTGTTGTCATAAAAAAAATTATTTTCACTCCTTTTCAAATCTTTTCAAAACTGAATCTGCAGCTATTTCTCCCAGTTAAATTCAGCGTTGTGATTTGCTTTCTTTTTAACCTGTTTCTGTTTATCTGCATTTTATGTCACCACTTTTTTTAATGTAATGAAATATATAAATATTTGATTTAATAGATATTTTAAAATGCTGCAGTTTGTTTTCTTAGATCTAATAAAAAATTTTTTAAAAAGAAAGCAATTGTGGTATATTTAGAAAAGAAAATTTTTACCACTTGGTATATTGTTGAATGATTTAAATTATGTATTTTTGTTAACAAAAAGTGTTTTATTTTGCAAAATAGGTCTTGGTTTGTTATATGCTATGGCAAATTTCAGTGATAACTCTGTTTGTTTTTTTTAGTGTCATTGTTTTGTAATTTTTTAAAATAAAATAAAAAATCTTATGTATTTATGTTTTATCAACAAGATATAAAATGCAAATTCTGTATTTTTGTAGTTCTTTGTAGTCCCTTATTTATTGATTATATTAAATTGATATTTTTACATCTCTGCAAATGTGTAACAATTGTAAGCAATAAACATAAATATTGATATTATAGATGTATTATTTCTAAATACTTTATAGATTTAGAGGTACAGAGGTAACACCTCTATAGATTATGAGGGAACTCTTAAGGCACAGAAACTTATACATTATTGGCAAGATATTTTGTGCATTTTCTAAAAGTTTTTAAATGATTATAAGAACTGAAGAGGTACATATGCCGCGATAGAATTTTATCTTCTTTCATTCTACTAAAGGTATGGCTTGCTTCTTTTCTTCTTACTTTCTTCCTTCTTTCATTCTTTCCCTAGTATTTCTCATGCCTTTGTTTTGATTGACAAGGCTGTTAATAGCTTGAATGGATTCTTCTATTTCTCTATTTTCTTTAAGTGCTTGGTATAGAATTTGAGGGGTGATCTGTTGCCTATTGACCTGGGATGGCTATACATTGACCTCATGACCTTTGTAGTGAACTTTGACCCACCCAGAGCACTTGAGCTGAGCTTAGTCCAGCTTCAGTTGGGCAAAGGATGAAGTTACTGGACTTAGAGGAAGCAAAGAAAGAAGCAAAGGGAGAAGAAAAGCAAGAAGTGTCTTTGCAGATGGGTAGGGCAGGGGATGGAGGGAAAATAAACTTTTAATTGATAGTCATGTATGTTTTGGACATCTAAAAAATATCCTGGATCTTCGATTTGGAAAATTTAAAAATCTCTCTCTGGAGTCTGTGACTAGCTTTCTGACAGATAGTTGAAGAATGTGGACAAACTGGGAAAGTATCAATGAAAATCTCCAGAATAGAACAAATATCCAAAAGGTAAGTCGACACAGAAAACAGACTGTGATTCAACTCACTCTAGTTTGTTCAGTTTAACATTGACTGGCAGTAACTAGGTTTCACATGGGAAAAAGAAGATGCTAGCGTATGATTATAAAACAAATATTCCAAGGATTGTGATGCCTATGAAATATTGAGGAAAGGAGGATTTTTTTACTTATTTATTCAAAATGCAGTCAAATATATTTATTAAAGATGAGATAATTCATTGGAAAGCTATAAATTGAACTATAGTGGTACAGAGGGGAAAGAATCTATGCTAAGAATGTTTTAAAGATAGGGCAGGCCACTTGGCAGCATTCTGTGGTCTCCTGTTTCTCTTTGACACTGCTAGAATTTGCTCTTGCATATTTTACTTAATCCTCTCAAATCACACACACAAACACACACAATATATATACACATATATACACATACATACATACATACATACATACCTCCCCTCTCCCCAAGGGGAGGTGGGAATTCTAGGCTTTCTCTTTCTAGTGATGTCAGTTCATTACCACTATACCCATATAGCATTTGGATTGTGTTGTTTCTCTGTGTCATTCATAGAGTATATGTGAGTATGTGGATATATGCAATTTTTGGGTCATATTTATGTAGTGCATATTGGAGGTGATCACCCTTTGAGAGCTGTATGCAATGAAGTTTCATTTAAGCTTTCCCCCACCGCCATCATTTTTAATCAGTATTGTTTTAAACCACAGAGATTGACCAGCTCTCTAGTAAAGCATCTCAATATGAATGCTGAAGGACTTTAACTCTCTGTTAGAACATTTGCTTTACCTGCAGAAAGTCCCAAGCATAATGCTAAATATCTAAAACAGAGCTCTTTTTTTCAAATTTTTGATTGAGTTTTATAGGGTTGGGGATAGAATAGGATTGGGATAAGGATTAAGGTTTAGGGTGGTTGGGATCAGGATTGGTGTTGGGAGGGAGTTGGGATCAACATTGGGGTTATCCCCCAATAATATTTTCAGTCTTTAACAAACAGACTCTTATCTGAGTACACATGTTCAGTTAACAATAGTTGATATAGTAATAAGTAACTGTAGTAAGTGTAATAAACGATAATCATAAACAGTATCAATTAGTTAATGCATATCATTCTTCTTACTAATATATATTCAAAATAACATATCACATTCATTTCTCACTAGTTCGTTTTCCTAACCATTGGTAAAAATTATCCCATGTTCTAAAGTAAACTGAATCTTCTTTCTCTTTAATCTCTAAAGTCAATCTATCCATTTCTGCACATTCTAAGATTTTCTTAATTAAAACCTCTTCAGTTGGTAAGTTTTCATTTTTCCAAAATTGAGCAAATAGTATTCTCGCTGTTGTCAGTATATGCAATATTAGATATTCATTCTCCTTCTCATAGTTAGGTTGAGACAGAGTTCTAAGTGAAATCTTGAGAAAGGCAAAAGTAAAGATTCATCAAATCTCATTAAAATCTTGATAACCACGTGGGCATCCACATATTGTTGTTTTTTTAGCAACAACAGAGAACTGGTTTGCCATTGCAGACTTCCAGAATGCATTTTCAATTTTTCATTCTAGTTTACAGCCCAAGGATCCTCACTGATCTCTCACCTACATAGTAAGCAGATCCAACACGTTTTGAGATCAGCTGGATCCTGCCACCTGCTGTGCTGTGGATAGTAAAGTGACCAACTGTCCTCCTTTAGGGAGGACAGTCCTCCTTTTGTAAGTTCTGTCTTCTCTTGAAAAGTGTCCTCCTACATGTCCTCCTTTTCAATATTTGAAGACTAATCTGCAGGGCTTTTTTTCCCCTCATAGAACGATCAGAACAGCGTTCCAGCACCTTTTTTTGATGTTTTTTTTTTCAACTTTTGCATGAGCCAATAGGAATTGCTGCTGAGCACGCCAAAACACCTGGCCAGCAAATTTTGCACGTGCAAGTTGTCTGCAGCAAAGGCGAATTGGCAGAAACTTTGCATCCCTCTCTGCTACCGAACTACACCATCTCCTAGTTAGTCCCGAAGATACCTGGAGGAGACTGGAGCAGCGACGCCACGGTAAGTTTCTCTTGATCTTCGGCCCTGCTATGACAATAATGGCTGTGGGCGCAAGAGGCAGGGGTGGCAGGGCTGCTACAGGTGGGGGTGTGAGGGGCGGTGGTGGCCAGCTGCCCCCATGCTGTGGGAGCCATGGGGCCCGCTCTACACAGGGCTGCGCAGGGTGGGTGGTGGTGTTGGCGGGGCAGCTGCAGGCGGGGTGTGTTGGCAGCGGGCTGCCTCCCGGGACTGGAGCCAGCGCAGCTGGTGCTTTGGGAGCTGCAGGGCCCGCTGTACACGGTGGGGTAGCAGTGCTGGCGGGGCAGCTGCAGGCGGGGGTACAGCGGGCAGTTGACCTTCCATGGGCCGGGCCAGCTGGTGGTCTACCCAGTGCTGGACCTGCACTGCCACCACCTCACCCTGCATGCCTACATGGCCATCCTGGAGCGCCTGGCCCACAACACCTGCCTCTGCCGCCCACCCCATGCAGTACAGCATTTAAATAATAATTAATAGGCATGTAAGCATAATTACAATATAAAATTTTATTGTTACAAATGTTTTTATTATGCATTTATCATATTATAGCGTATTCTGTATTGTTGCAATGAATAAAATGTTTCTTTTATTTACGATATTTTTTTCTTCAATTTATTTGTGTCCTTTTCATTGTAAAAAAGTTGGTCACCTTATGGATAGCTGTCTCTAATCTGGTAGAGAGCTGAATCAATGATCTAACTCGGTATACAGCAGTTTCTTAATATGACTTTGATGAATAATAACTGGCTGTTAGAGCCTTGCTGTTTACCCCTCTCCCCCCATACTTTGCTAGAGGGCCCTAATGCAAAAGGAGATCTACCAGAGTGGAATACAACTATTACCCAAGATGATCAGTATGGGAGTAAAGTTTGCTAAAGTTTGCAGATACACTTGGGCACAGATAATTTTGTTCTACCATTTTTCCTCTTGCTGCCCTTAAGTAGCTTACAACAATGCAAAAAATGCTGGCAATCTTAAGAACTAACAGCAATATCTAAAATTGCTTTGACTAGCCCAGATACAGTTTTTAAATAATGCACCATTATGAAGCAGTAGAATTGAAAGAGAGGCAGTTTAGCTCATTTGTTTTGTATGAAATACTTTAAAGATAACTTTTGAAGAGACTTTCGGGGGACATATGCATCCATGTGATCTCATGAATATAATTGCTTTAGATATGTTTTTTCTATCTTCAAATTTTCTATTTTTTCAAATTTTATTTCTTTGTGTTTCACATTCTTTGTTTCCCTCTATTGTCTTCCTGCCTACTTCAGTATTTTATCTTATTTTCAGCCATTTTGGATCTCATTCCTCAATACAGATCTGCATTGCTTCTTGCTTTTCCTGTTTTTTCACTCAAATCCTCCCAGTTGATCAAACATTAATTTGCTAATGAAGCCTTTTCACTTTCTGATTGACCTGCTTGCATCTCCATGCATTCTCTCTCACGACCTTTTAAGGTAGAAAGTACTTCCCACAAAATCCTTGACTGACCTGCTCCTTATCTGACACAGGATTATGAACTCAATTTATTTTTTGCATTTCTCAATTCATGTGTCTCTTATTCTCCCTTTTCATTCTGTCTTTAATGCACGCAAAGCATTCTCCTCCCATCCTGATTCTTTCTCCTTTTGTCTCTCATTAGTTATTGCAAATGTAGGCAGAGGCAACTTCAGTTACTTTTTGTATCATGCCTAGCACTGGATCAACACCTCACTGCTCTTGCTTATAGTTCTGGGTATCCAGCATGCCTTCTTATAAAAATTAGCAAAGAGAATAAACTTTTATTGCTTGTGGATCCAATGCTCTCTTGGGGACTAAACAACATCAGAATATGAATCCATCCCTTTCTGAAGTACAGCCTTCTTGCTTTATCCTGAATTATTGTTCCAAGCTCCAATGTATAGACATAAAGAGCTCTGGCCACGAGGAGATAGGATTTCAGGAAAGGGCAGGGGGGAGTTTTGGGGAAGATAGGGATCCTGCAGATGCTTTTTAATGGTGAAACTTATGGGTAGTAGGGCTGCATCTGGCCTGTTCCCTGCCCCTAAGAACAAGGGACTTTGCTATTTTATGATTCTTTTTACATTTTAGATGGTGTCAAATGAAGGACAATTTCTTGCTAAAGCAAAGAATAGATCTCAGGGGAAAATAAGGAAATAAGGAACAAGAATGAGAGTTATAATAGAATGGCTGCAGGAAAAGAATAAGCCCTATATGAAAATGTTTTACAAAAAAAGATTGATCTCCAAAGAAAATAAATCAAAAGAGGATGTAGGGGAAGAGGATATGGAAACAGCTTGGAACAAAGTGAAAAGAATTATGCCAAATAAGAGGGCGGAATTATCAGAGGGGGAAGAATGGAAAAAGATAATTGATGGATGACGAAGTGAAGAAGACTGTAAATGGGAAAAAAAATGCTACTAAAAATGAGAAAAGAAAAATACTGTACAATATGTATATAAAAAAAACAATAATTCCAAAGAATGTCATCAAAGACAGTGAGAAATAGTTAAGAGCACAAGAGTCAGAACTGCAAAGTGATTTGGTGAAAGTGAAAAAAAAAATACTTTGGAAGTACATGAAAGAGACTAAATGAGGACCTCCAGCAGAGTGGATGAAACTAAGAACAAAAACTAATGAAATTAAATGAGATAAAACTGACATGAGAGAATGATGGAAGGAATGTTCCAGGAGTTTATACAAGAATTTTTGTGATTTGCTGTGAAATTGAAACAAATGCTATAAATGTTAGAGTCCAGAGAAACAAATGAATTAAAAGAAAGTTATAAAGTTACAAATACTGTGACAATGTTGAAAGAAATGTAAAGTTAGAGTGTAGAAGATATGTTAAAAATGAATATGGTTTGCTTATGGAATGGCGTATGATCTGTTTCATGTGTATATAAAGACTGCACCTGTGCCTGATCATTAGAAAAATGCTGTCATTGTTCCTATATACAAAAGAAAGGACAGTAGGAGTAAAAGCGGAGGGATTAGCTTGTTAAATGTGCCTGAGAAGATGTTTGGCACAATTCTGATTGAAAGGGTGAGCATAATTTAGGAGGTAAATTAAGTTCCCTGTGAAGGTCAGGTATTTGCTTTTCATCAGATTGCTGAGATATGTATGATTGTGAGGAAGAAACTTTATTATAAATTTGATGACTTAGATAAAGTCAGTAGATTTCAATTAGAGAATTTTTTTCATGAAAGTGGAGTTGAAGGTTGGTTGTTAAATGCAGTAAGAACATTATGTAATGAAAATAACGTAGTAGGAGAATAAATGCTCAACAAATGATTCATCACTGAACAGTCAGTAAGACAGTATATAGCAGATGTATTATTTAATGTATTTATAGGTGCTGATGTTAGATGATGGTTGGGGTTTAGAATGTGTTTACAATTTTGTATACAAACAATGCACGTTGTTAATTGAGAATCTAAATGTTTTGCTGTGAATGTTAGATAGATACTGTGATGCAGTGAGAAATATATATATACATATAAATGAATCTATCAAAAATTAGAAGGAAAAAGATAATGAGAAGATTTGCAGCAAATTAGTCATTTAACAATATAGTCCTTTTCCTCGCAGAGCAGAAATTATGGGGGGATACCAAGTTGGAGAAAGGCTTAATAATAATGTTAACATGAAAATTATTTACTGAAGTATAAAAAACTGGACTAGTCAGGATTTGGGGGGGAGACTAAGAGTTCATTTTACCTTGAATATACAAAAATTTGAGGCTTTTGTGTATTTATTTCTCATTGAGGAATCTCGTATAGAAACTATTTCAATAATAGACGTGTCCATTTTTACTGTTTAGACCTGCAACATGTTTAAATTTTATCAGGGTTTCCAAATTGAAAAGATCTGTAGCCCAATTCAATGGCTCTGAGAGCCAGAGTTCAGAAAATATCTTGCATTGCCTTTTTTATTGTGTTGTTAGTTCTATAGAGATCTTAGAGTTTGTTCATTTATCCTCATATAGTAAAATATCCAGGGCATACTGATCTCATCTACAAACAAATTCTTTGAGCTAATCAGCCAGATTCTGTTTCCTGCTACTAAGTTTTGCTATACAGTTCCACTTTCAAAGCAAGACAGGAGTTAACATCTTCTGATTGTTATTATTCACTGACTGAAATAAAAAATATCAATTAATGGTAATACAGAAATTTATTTGAGGGGACCATACTGTTTAAGTATAGTGCCCAGTTTTGGGTTTTTCAGCAAATTATCTAGCAAGTCTGAACAGCAGTCTGAATAGAAATCTCCCTGATCCACCCTGCCCCCCAAGGATGGAGATCACTTTAAACAAGGATGCTTTCCAAAGGGTGGGAAATACTGATATTTTGCTAAAATAGGCACACACTGGATTGTACCTCTACTTACTTTGGCCCTGTTTTCCTTCACTTTAGGCCCATTTTGGTTTTTCTCCTTGTTCTAGAGCCCTTCAGCAAATCAGGGAGATCTTTAAAAAGGGTCATTGGAAAAAAGAGGCTGCAAGCGTGTAATCCAGTATTTTTCAACGATGACTATTTTAAGATGTGTGGACTTTAACTTCCAGAATTCTCCAGCCAATATGACTGACTGGTGAATTCTGGGAATTGAAGTTTACAATTTTGAAGTTGTTTAGGTTGAGAAACTCTAGTGTAGTCTTTTCTAGTACTCTCAAAGCTTTATATTTCAGAGGCTGACTAAATTCATGGAAGTGTCCCTAACTTATAGCTGGGAAATCCTTCAGTTTTACAATCTCTGCCTGTCTGCTACTAGCAACTCTCAACCATCTCCTTCTCAAAGAAGGAAAAGGCAGTGGGGGGGGGGGAAAGAGAATAAATATGCAGAGAAGAATTATTAAAAGAAATGCAAGCCTGCCTTTAGCTACTTTTACTCAATAAGTGCACTGAGGTTAGTACAACTAGTTTCCATATAGATAATATTAAGGTGACCAACCGTCCTCCTTTAGGGAGGACAGTCCTCCTTTTGTAAGTTCTGTCCTCTCTCGGAAGATGTCCTCCTACATGTCCTCCTTTTCGATATTTGAAGATTAATCTGTAAATCTCCGTATTCGATCAATGCCGAGCTGATCCATTGCGTGTGATGTGACGTATTTGTATTTGACATGACGATGCATCAAGGCTCAGTACAGTGCGGTGAGACATGATTATGAGACGCATGCGCTTCGCACAAGAGAATTGTTTTGAGAGAGGGTGCCGCACGCAAGTGGCTTTGTTCACTTCTTACTGAAACATGACACGGCGCACACGCATGCATTAGATTCACTTTTTTTCTTCAATTTATTTGTGTCCTCCTTTTCATTGTAAAAAAGTTGGTCACCTTAATAATATAACGATTGATAGAGGGAGAAGTGTATCTATTTGGATGGTTCCTGCTGAAGGAGCAGAAAAGGAAACGCTGAAGGAAATTAAATTTATGAAGGCTTGTAGTTCTTATTGCTGACCAGCAGGTGTCATTGTTTCCTGCCACAAATTTCCGCCTCTGGAAACAATTTTTTAAAAAAGGAAACAGGAATTGCCTAGACTGCATTTAATTTTCTTTTTCTTTTTTTCGTCCTGGAATCAAAACATTACAAAATCATGATTCAAACCATTTCTCCTCTGAATTCATCCATTGCAGCAGTGGAAGAACATGATAAAAAAAAAAAAAAAAGGAAATTACAAGTGTGCTTCTTCAAAGTCAGCCAAGCTCTTTTCCAAATCCTGCATTCTACTTTCTTTCAGCCTTCATTTTCCGTACGGTGCTCCCAAATAATACTTCTCTCTCAGTTCTTTTTGGGCTGTTCTGAGGTCTTCACCTTGTTTAGTTTTTGTTTATTTGTGATTTTTTTTGCAAAGAACAGGTATATATGTTTCAGATTTTATCAGGCTAATGAGATTTCACTTTATATGTGGGGAAAATGCTACTTTGGTAAAGTTTGGTTCAAATTGAATGGTTAATGTATCAGGCTAGAAATCAAGAGACTGTAAGTTCTAATCCTACCTCAGACTTGAAGCCAACTGCGTGATCTTGAGTCAGTCACTTTCTCTCAGCCCTAGAAAGGAGGCAATGGCAAACCATTTCTGAAAAGTCTTGCCAAGAAATCAATACGGACCTATCCACATCTCTGAGACTTGGACACTATTGAATGGAAGAAAAAAAAAACAGCTGCTTTAACTGCATGAAGATTGAATAAAGTTGGATATGTACTTGCTAGATGTTCAGAAATACAGCTTTCTTTCTTTCTTTCTTTCTTTCTTTCTTTCTTTCTTTCTTTCTTTCTTTCTTTCTTTCTTCCTTCCTTCCTTCCTCCCTCCCTCCCTCCTCCCTCCTTCTTTCTTTCTTTCTTTCTTTCTTCACCTTTATTATTTTAATAAATAACTCAAGATGACAAACAAACATAATATTCCTCCCCCCTTCTATTTTCTATGAGGTAGATTAGGTAGAGGAGGATGACTGGGTCAAAATTAACCTGCCAGCTTTCATGCCTAAAACAAGATTAGAACTCACAGCATCCTAGTTTCTAGATCAGTCCGAACTGCTCTCATACAGTTCCCATAATTCCAGTCAACACATATAAAGCTATATTAAAATTTAGTTGAAAGGGAATATTTTTGTAGTCTGTGGAGGAAAAAAAATGTTTCTCTTTAAATGTTCATTTAGCATATGAAAATTAGCCAGTTAAACTTATATTTAGCTGTGTCCATTAATGGAATTAAATAAATAGCATTTAGCAGCCATTTAGCATATCTGGAGAACAGTGGAATAGGAAAAACTGCTAAAACAAATGATTGATAGTATTCATGTTTAGAGTCAATGAAGATTTTAACCATCCTGATACATTAGCAATGTTTTTCATCTTTTTTATTGGATTAAATAATGATCAAGTTACTTCCCTCTAAATCAAAGGAATTCAACAGCATATGTATTATCCTATAAGATCCAAGGGTAGATGCCACCCACAGGGTTTTTTTTTTTATCAGTTTGGATTTTTTAAATATGTTTTTGGTCATTGATTTTTGTTTTGCCATTGTTAACATAATTACCTGGTTTGAAAAATATATTTTCACTGGTTGATTTTTTTTTGTATCTTTAATATTTTGAAAACACATTCTTGACTTTTTATCTTTCTTAGTGTAAACAGAGCAGGAACTAAAAAGTGTTAAGGATTTAAACCACCACAACTGAAACTGAAGTAACTACTCACAAAATGTAAGCTCTGAAAGTTCCTAAGAATTAAAATGGTTGCCACCCACCTTCCCTTATCTGAACCAGTCATTTTTTTAAGGAACTTTCCCCTCCTATTACAGCTGTTCAAACTGAGTAGCTACCAAACTCTGGAAACTTACCATCTCCTGGGAGACAGAAAAAATGATTAGTCAGAAATTAGTCACACATTGCTATACCACCGAAAGAAGCATGATGTGACTGTTGAATTTCAGTGAGTCATGGCTCTTCTTTTCTCCCCTTAGCTTCTTGATGGTGGGGTTATCTTGGCTGAGAATAGAAATGTATTTCAGCCCTAACACAGCATGCTTTACCGTGACTTTTTAGTTTTAGAGTTAC